CGGGCCGGGGCGGGCCGGGGGAAGCGGCGGGCCCAGAGACCCCGCTCGGCGTGTCTGCAGAGCCCTTGGGGGTGCGAGGCAGCTCCAGCCACCCTCTGAAATCCCGTGATGGTGTCCTGGCGCTGAGGCCGCGGGACTGCTGTGTGTCACCTGCTGCCCGCCGTGGGCACGGAGGGGGCCCGCTGTCCCTCCCTGCAGAGGGACCAGACCAGGGAGTCTTTAAAGCCTTTTGTTTAAAGTCTTTTTTGTTCATAACTGATAACTGTAAAGCAGGGGGCTGAAGCCACGGATTTCATTAATCACGTGCAATTACAAGCCCAGAAAAATGGTATCCAGAAGTAGTTAGCTACAGGACTGATCACAGAATCACAACATCACAGAATCAGTCAGGTTGGTAAAGACCGGTCTGAGACACCGACTCCAACCTGTGACGGAACACCACCCTGTCAACTAGACCATGGCACTGAGTGCCACGTCCAGTCTTTCCTTAAAAACATCCAGGGTTGGTAACTTCACCATCCCTCTGAGCGGCCCATTCCATTAACCTTTCTGTGAAGAAATTCCTCCTAATGTCCAACCTCAATCTCCCCAGGTGCAGCTAAAGACTGTGTCCTCTCATCCTGTCGCAGGCTGCCTGGCAGAAGAGACCGAGCCCCATCCATCTACAGTCTCCTTTCAGGGAACTGTGGATAGCATAAGGTCACCTTTGTCTCCTCTGCTCCAGGCCTAACAACCCCAGCTTCCTCTGCTGTTCCTCATGGGACTTGTGCTCCAGCCCCTTCCCCAGCTCCTCTGGACATGCTCCAGCCCCTCAACATCCTTGCTGAATTGAGGGGCCCAGAACTGGGCACAGGACTCCAGGTGTGGCCTCACCAGTGCTGAGAACAGGGGAAGATGTTTGGCTGTGTCAGTCACCAGGAGCTTTGCCAACTGGCAAATTCCTTTAATTTTATTGCATGAATGAGAGTGGATTTGCACAATGCCATGGCATCAATGGCTTCACATGATTTCACAATTAAAATAAGATATTTACAAGTAACTGCTAGTGTGTAATCTAATGTGCTACGGTGATTATTTCCATAACATTCAATAAGTTTTTTTTTCAGGGCAAACTTACAGTATCCCTGTTTTGAACAGTTACAGTTCCACACATAGGCACCCTGAGCAAAGCAGACAAATTCACTGGAGATGTGCATCAGAAGACACACAGACTGTACTAACTATACTTTCTTCAGATGGTCTTCGTTTGACACAGCTTATTCATGAGAAGCTGGGGGATTTTATGATTAATTACCTAAAATACTTTAGGTAATTTGCATGTTCTATTCAATGTCTTTGATCCAATCCTGGGTGTTATGTGGGGTTACATAGTTCTATTTGGGTGGCTTTTGTATCCTTGTTGCCATTGCATCAGGAATTCTGATTTTTTTTTTTTTATGCCATCGTTTTGGTTTTTTTTTAACCAAAATCAGTGCTTCCTTGCTGCCAGCTTCAATCTCTCTACATTTTTTTCCAGACATGCAACTGCCACAAGACAGCCAATAAAATCCCTGGTCTTTAAAATCTCTTACATCTCTCACCTTTGCTTGTGGCTGCTGCAGTGGTTTCACTTACCTCGTTCCATAAAGGAGCTTACTGGATTGATTTTTACTCTCTTCAGTGGGAGCAACGCCTTGTATTCTGTTCAACCTATTACATTGTCTATCCATTGTGGAATAATTGGAAGAAGGTAATAGTGATGCTGCCACCAAAGTGCCTTCAACTGTATTTGTTCATACGTGCTAAGTGCCTTGCTAAATTATGCCCTTACATACACATGAACAACCGTCCTGGGTTAACAGGGAAGGAAAAAAAAAAAGGAACATCAATATGTCATCCAAATCTTTTCCTGGCATTAGTTTTGCAGTTGAAGGCCAACCATTTCAGACTGGCACTTAGAGAAAGTTGAAACATCATCTTTTTAATTAAATTTGCCATTGAAAAAAGAACAGTGGTTTTACTGTGTCCTTTTTTATATTATGAGAATTTTATGATTTTGTAGTGGGCTGAAGAGCTGAAAAGGCTAATGAATTATTACAGAGAACAATATGAAGACTTTCTTTCTTAAATTTTGACTTAAAGGACAGTTCTTATGCATAAATGGCTTTTGCAGCTGCTCATTGGGCTAGGTGGAACTGGGAAAGCTAGCAAAATAACATGAACAAATTCAGTAAAGAGTGGAAAAGAAGAAAAAGAAGAGATTCATCTTGGAAAATTTGGTAGAGCTGTAGGAAAACATCCAACAAGAGGAACAAACCTGCAATATCAGTATGTAGGAGTGAAAGCAAACAGTAAATTACATATGGTTTTACAGAAAAGTGTAAAAACAAAGCCCACAGAATTTAAGCCTCCTTGTGAAGGATCCCATTGCTCCCATTGTGAGGAAGGAACTTACACAATTCTCTACCACTTCTTTGGTGTGACTACTGTGTGCATACTACTTAACTAGGTCATGCCTGGGATATTTTTGGGAGTCTTCCTGTTAGAAAATTACACTGAAGGGATTTTTAAAAAGAGCAATTAAAATAATTAAAGAGATGAAGGGATTGATTTATGAGACAAGATCAAAAGATCTGGAATATTAAAACATGTTTCACAAATGCTGTGGAGTTTGGATGACATCACGTTGTTAAGATTAGCACATACTGTTTGGAAAGAGTTTATTCAGTGTGAGGTTACCTGCGTATTTTGAAACTAGTATAAACTGCAAAAGTGGGAAAAAAGGTTGAGGCAGCAGTGTTTGAAAAGCTTTGTGCTGAAAATCAAGGGCAGAGACCATACCCTCTACAGGTAGATTGGACAGATTAGATAAAAGACACCAGATGATGGGAACAATCTTGCACTGGCAAATAGTTGGGACAAAGGCTTTGCACAGTATGGAGTAACCTGCACTAGATATGTGGTTTAGCCTGCATAACCTCTGTTCTTCATGCAGGACCACAGCAGGCTGAAATACCAAGTCTCAGGTGTTTTTAAGCAGGGTGTAATAGCATTTTTAACCACGGGTTTCCTGTTCATCCTCTCTGACTACATCCACCTCTGTTCATTGTTCGGAAGATATTTCTCCTACAACTGCCACAACCCTGAATTCACCTCAGGAATGAAAGATAAACCAAACTTCTTCTCATACACAGCTAAGAAACATCCTTTAAGAAAAAGATTCTTTTTCCTCATGCTTATAACCTGTTCAGAAATTCATTAACTTTTGATCCTTCTGAGTTCAGCCTAGGGCTCACTAGGTTGTTTA